GGGAAGCGCAAGGAGCGGGGGGAGGAGGGGCTGGAGGGGGCGGGGCTGCCGGGACTGAACCTGGGCGGGGCTGCCAGCCTGGAAGAGATCGACCGCGCCAAGGAGGAGCTCAAGGTGAGGCCAGCGCACGCCGCCGTGGTGCACCTTCCGATGGCGCTTTCAGGACCTCTGCATCGTGGCCCAGCATCTGGGTGTGTGGGGCGGCGTGCCTGCGTGTCACTGATGCCATGTGGGCGTGTGCTTTGGTGCAGCGGCGCGAGGAGGAGCTGCGGCAGCAACTAGAGGACCTCGGGTCGGACGACGAAGGTGAGCACCGCGGCATGATGCACTGGGTCGTTTGCAACCAGCCAGGCCTGCACTGTGCCTGCGGCAAGGACGCAGAAGGTAGCATTGCAGTGACGCAAGCAGGCCGCTGGCGAGGCTTCCCCAGCTGGCTGGTCAGTGCGCTGATGGTGGCGGGGGTGGTGCTGCAGATGAGGGCGAAGAGGGCGAGGAGCAGCTGCCGCCGATGGGGCCCCCCCCGGACGACGACGAGGACGAAGGGCAGCGGCGGCGGGTGCAGCGGGGACGGCACCCGGGGCACGAGCAGGACGAGGACGAGGGGGACGACGAGGAAGACGACGACGAGGACGAGGACGACGAGGAGGACGAGGAGGACGACGACGAGCGGCAGCAGCGATAGCAGGCGGGGGAGGCAGGGGGGGGCGATGAGGGCACAGACCAGGAGGGAGCACACGGGAGACTGCAGCAGCAGAGAGCTCCGCGGGGCGGCTGAATCGCAAAGTCCTGGACGAAGCAGGCAACATGCGAGACAGCGCCTGTCCTTGCTTCTAAAATCATCTTGGTCAAATTACAATAATGGGGCATCACTGCGAGAGGATGTGAAGTCGATCGAGGCAGTCGACAAACCTAGATGATCTGGTCATACATCTACGTGCGTAGTGCATGTTAGCCCTTTGCTCCTTTGCAACGCTGCTTCCGTTACTCATCGAAGGATTGCCTCGGGAAAGCTATGAAGCGTCCGTATCTCAGAAGGTCCTTCATTCAGTTCCGAGTAGTTCCATTTGGAAACATTGGGCACTACTTGTTACGATATATTTGGGCGAGCTTGGATGGTATTTAGACGGTCTAAAATGCACTCCACAGATTGAATGTCATTGACTGCGTTGGTCCATCATGACCTAAAGGGCAGCTCACTATGCTGACATGTAGCCATGCAATTGGGCATTCTTCGAATGCATATCCCAAGTCACATGCAAAGGCTCTTCATCATCTGCATGGTGGCAGCCGAGTACCCTTTGGATTAGATCTGACTAGATAATTCTAAGCCCGAGGATGATCTGCATAACATGCATCCGGTGATTGTGCATTCGCATGTGATTGTACGTCCCAGCATGTGCTCATGCGGGAAATAAATCGATGCCCCTACATGAAGCGCCACGCCACGAGGGTCACTTTTAGCTAACGCCAAGCGGCCAGGTTGGACAGGTTCTGCAGTAGTCGAGTTCATTGAGAGAATAACGTATGTGTCTGCAATAGGAACTTGTGGCTAGGCAATTGTAGGGTTTTCAGTGCTGCTCGAAGGGAGAGCAAGAAGGAAGCGGCGAGAAGTTCAGCCCAGGAACTCGTGACCAGAGTTATCTCTATGCATCCTTTTTTGCTTGCTTGAAAGGACAAGTCTTGTTGCCCAACAACTGGATTCTATCCCAGCTGCAATCGCTGTCATATCAGCCGGTGATTCTCAGGTTCCGCCTCTTTGGACACAAGTTCAGGGGCCACGCAGGGTGCGCCGCTCCCAACGGCCTTTCCTGCCCCATGCGGCGAGGTGGTTAGCGCTGCAGGAACGCCGCAAGAGCGACTGCCAGGAGCGCCACGAGCAGGGCCAGGAGCAGGTCCCACCAGGCAGAGCCTGCACGCAGCACAGCGGCAGAAGGGGTCACGCAGGGAAGCGGCGCCGCCAAGGCGGGGCCGACACTGGAAGCACTGAGGGCGGGCACAGCCCGAGGGTCGAGCAGGCGGGGGCAGGCCGGCTGCCGAGGCTCCAGCAGCGCCACACAGGGGGAGTTGCCCCGAGCCAGGGCACGGGATGCGGGTGACGCACACTCACCGTGGGCAACATGGCGCAGGTCGGTCACGCGCGCACTGGAGTCGGCCGAAATGGAGAGGAGCGCGCTGCGAGGAGGGGGGCAGGAGAGAGGCAGCAAGGCATGAGGTGCGTAATAGGCCAGGGAACGACAATAATGGTGGCACAACACAAGCTTGGCACCCGTCTCCCAGCAGGGAATGCCAAACGACGGCACCACCCAACGCAGACCAAGCAGGGCTTGATTATAGCGGCACTTGCAGCGTAGCTCCCAGCAGGCACCGGCGCTGGCCCGCTACAGATGGGCCTTCACCTGGAGTCGGGCGAGAAGTCGAGGCCGGTGATGAAGAGGGGGTGGGCGCGGCGCACGCGCAGCAGGGGCGCCAGGTGCGGGGCGGCCAGCACGGCGATGGCGCCCTCCGCACTGGCGCACGCCAGCAGCGCGCCGCTCGGGCTCAGCGCCAGTGCCGACAGCGGGGCCGAGTGCACGCGGCGGCGGCGGCGGCACGCCCACAGGGGGCCGCGGCCCAGACATGCAGCCAGGCGTGGCCGGCGCGCTGCACGGCGAGGTACGCCACGAGGGGGCCGACGCGCGAGAAGCGAACAGCCGAGATGGTGCAGCCCTGCAGCGGGGAGCAGGCAAGGAATCATGCGGGGCAAAGGGAGACAGAGCGGCTCTTGGCCCACCTTCACTCGGAGGACCCCCTCTACGCAGGCAGCGCGGGGGAGGGGACAAAGAGCGCACTTCAAAACTGGAGGCTGGGGTTGCTATCCCAAGGTTGAAAGTCCAAGCCAGAAGTCTGAGCCAGGAGTCCAAGCCAGGCGGACCTCAAAGGCGGCCCGTGCTGACTGACCTGGGGCACTGTGAGCGTGGCTGCCTGCTCGCCATCACGGTGCAGGTCCCAGACGGGGCAGGCGGCGCTGCGGCTGGTGCTGGCCAGGAAGCGGCCGTCCGCGCTGAAGGCCAGGCTGCGCACGTCCGCCGTGTGCGCCTCCGGCAGCTGCACAGACACGCGCCCGCTCGGCCACTCCACCACGCGCACCGCGCCGTCCTGCAAGCAGGGGCCAGCCGGGATGGGAGGGGGGCCAGGGCAGGCCGGCGGGGCGCGGGGGTGCCCCAGCAGAACAGCAGGAAAAAACACCCCCAGGGACCCTTCCATCAGAGTCTGGCCCCGCTTCCGTCCTTGAACCCCTTGTTCTATGATAGGCGATGGGCCCACCGCTGCGAGGACGGAAGGAACTGAGAGTGGCTGGCTGACCTGCCCCCCTAGCGCCAGCCGGTCCCCACTCTCGTTGAAGGCCAGCGCGCGCTGCTCTCCCCACCCCTGCAAGCCCGCTGGAAGGGCTGCCCCTGAGAGCAGGCGCGGCGATGGCCCGGAGCGAACATCGTAGCGCCGCAGGGGGGCCCCTGTCGCAAATGCCACAACGAGCACGGCCCCTTGCGGGTGCACCGCCGCAGCCTGGGCCGCATCCTCGCCAGTCTCCTCCCCTGCAAGCTGACAGGGAGCACAAGACGGGCAGGGTCAGGGGGGCAGGGAGCAAGCCAGGCACAGTGGAGGCAGCTGGGCCGCAGCGGGGCGCCACGTTGGGCCTCTCGTCGTCTACTGGAAGGCAGGGGCTGCCCGGGAGCGCACCTCGGGCAGGAGCGTGGCCGTGGTTGCGTCCCAGGCCGCCAGCACCAGCCGGTTCAGTACACCATGAGCCCCCGCTCCGCCGCCGCCGCCCAGCACCAGCAACTGGCGGCCGGCGTCCTCCTCGCCGGGCTGCACAACGAGCGGGGCACGGCTCAGCCGGTAGCTCTGCAAGCGGGCTGCCATTCTGAGACAGGGACAGGGGCAGCGAGGGGAGCACACTGCAAAGCAACTGGGGCGGAGGCCCTGAGTCAAGGACAGCCCGCGTGGCTAACCCCCTCAAAAACTCTGCTTGCAAAGGGTGGCTCCCATGCGTGTCCACTGATGAACCCGGTGCATGGAGCAGCTGCCGGCAGCGGGATGCCTCACCTTGGCCGGCAGCCACAGCCCACAGAAGAGGGGGAAGTTGAACTGCCGCTTCTGGAGCCCCTCCTCGCTGCTCATGGTGGCTCCAAGGGAAGGGATCGGGGCGGCACGCTAACAGTTCCAGCAGCAATAGGGCACTGGTTTGGAAGCCCTCCCCAATCAGCGACCTTTGTGCGCAGTTCCCTGCAGCAGAAGAAAGGCAACGGACATGCCTGTCATCAGGTGGCGTCAGGACCTGTCCCAACACAAGCCAAGCGGGGTGCATTTGCACGGAGCTTGCTTCCTCCAGCTAAAGCTGATACAGAATGCACCAAAAACGTAAGCCAATGCGAGGCTGCCTGTCTGGACCCATCAACCTCTGAACATGGCGATTTCGGATCGGTACGATCCATTCAACCCCATAGCCAGCCACTGCCCTCACCCTCTCGCCCAGTCTGCTGCCCAGCTGCCTCTGCACCAGGCTGTGCCGCCTCACCGATGGCTGCCCCGCGGCCTCCCTCTGCTACTCCCAGCGCATACGCAGGAGCCCTGCGCCGCCAGCTGGCCGCTCAGGTGCACTGATGACACATGCACCTAAGGCTATGGCTTACCTCCGAACCTGGTCCATGCCAATTATGCGATGACTTGAGGAAAGGTTTCGGAGACCAGGCTCAAGTGTCTTCTTGTGTCTTCGCTCCCCTCCTTCACCGCTTTGCGCTATCTAGTTCAGACTTTCTACTTTAATAGGTATGCTGGCTAAGCTTCTTGCGTGCCCCATGCCTTTGATACAGCTTGTACTACCGACGGTAGTGCCGTACGGTAGTAGAGAAGTCTGACATCTTTCGAGCCTTCCAATTTTAGAGGAGAGGGCGCCCCTCCGGGGCCTCAGCATCAGATCCTTGGTGTGAACAGCCAACCCAGACTCACGGCCCGTTTTGAGAAAACCTCTCAAAACACCAATTTGAAAGTTTGAGTAAATCTCTCAAAATACGGCGATCGATTTTGGACAAATCGTTCGTATCCGGTCGGGTCATTTTGGAGAAAATGCTCAAAACTGCGTCGGGCGATACGAACAAATTGTTCAAATTTGCGACCTGGTCCGTCCGGGTCTGCCGTCGCGACGTGCGGGTAGCTTTCGGGAAATCTCCACCGTCGATGCAGGTGGACCATCGCGGCCCACAACATCGATCGCGAAGACCGCCGGGATTGCGGTACAGAAAGGACGGTACCCTTATGGGTGGTTGGTCGGGGCGGCGGGCGGCCGCAACTTCCCGGGGACAACGGACACTTCCCTCTTAGAGTAGTAGTTTAGGGACCGTGGCACCTGAGAAGCAACCGGGCCCTGCCTGTGACATTAGGGTCTTGCGGGCAACCCTGGGACAACCGGGCCTTCCCGCTTTAGGGTTACACCACTGCGAGTGACAACCGAGCAAGTCCTTTTGGTTTTAGTGTGTGCCCGGGGCCTCCACAAATTCGAACCTTTTCTTCGAATGGCGCAGCTAGAATACGAGCGATTTGATCAAAACTCGACCGGCTATTTCGAGCAATTTGTTCAAAAACCGGCCGGCACTTTCGAGCATTTTGTCCAAACCGACACGGCTGGTGTTTTGAGAGGTTTTCTCGAAACGGGCGTGAGACTGGGTTGGAACAGCTGCCCCTTCGATCCCCTGCGACACTCTGCCGGGAGAGCCGTTCAATTTCGTCCTGCGGATGTTCAGGGTTTAGACTTGCGAACTCCGGCCGGCATGAGTCATGACGTGCCGAGAACCTTCCAGCTCGTCCCTGTTTACACCAGGCAGAGATGGCAGGAACTCGAGTGGGCTGTGGCCCAAAACATGGCGTCCCAAGGCTGCATAAATATGTCTTTGTGAACAGTGAAGCAAGTGAAGAGGTGGAAGCAGGTCTACATTGCATTGTTGACATCAACGTCCGGGGGCAGACGTGACGTTGGATTCGGAGGCGCCTTCACTCCAGCAGATTCTCCGGCCTCAATATCTCTGGCCTCACTGGCCTGCTGGCCAACCGGAAGCGGGGTCAGGTGCGACGCAAGGTGCATCGCAATCTCTAAAAAGGTGACAAGCAACGTGTGGAGACTCCACATCTGCTGAAGCTAGCATCGCTACGGTGGGCGATGTTGCAGTCTGCAGGACGTTTGTGCAATATTCTACTCAGTTTGAGCAATCTCAGATATATTTCTACTCAGCAGCTTACCTAGAACGTCCCGGTGTTCCATCATGTTCTTACTAGAACCCCATATGTTCTATGTAGCATGTTGTTAGAACGAAAAAAATCCAGCTGCAGCGAGTACTGGTCCACGCTGGACGGGGGGGACGACCCGCACGCCATGGACGGCCTTGAGGGGGGGCACCACGACAACGGGCACCACGGGTGAGTCACCACAGCGCGGCCCGTGCTCGGCGTCAGCGCTGAGAGGCCCGTCCTGCCGGGCTGCCACCCGCTGGCTGTGTCTGCGCCCCGCCCCTCCTCTCTGACGCCCTTGCTTGCCCCTGCTGGTGGCTGCCAGGGCTGCGCCCCCCGCTGCGGAGGAGGCAGGGGCCGCGTCAGAGGAGGAAGAGGAGGAGGAGGAGGAGGGGGACGGCTCTGAGCTGGGGCTGCAGAGCCACTGGGACGACGTGTACGCGCACGAGCTGGCGCTGCACCGCGAGCATGGGGAGCAGGGGGAGATCTGGTGAGGCCCCGCAGCAGCGCACCAGCAGTGGGCCCCCCCCCTCCTCTTCCATGCACTTCCTCGCAGATGCTGGTTGCTGTGACGCGCCAGCACCGGCATGCCTTTGCACTTTAAGTTGCCACTGGGTGATTCGTGTGAACTTACAAATTGTGTCCCCACTCCCAACTATTGAGCCCTTTGTGTTCCTTATGATGTGCCCTTGTAGAATGGAACTCGTATGTGGGGCTAAGTTTTGAAGACCTTTCTCAAAGCCGCAACCGAATGGGCATTGGGATTAGGTGCAACTACTTGTGAAAGGTTGGCCTCTCCGGAGGTTTCTGTTCTGGATTGCGCCCGGTGAGCACCACATTTTCTATTTCAATGCCGTGCTGAGCCTCCCTGATTGTGATGCCATGCCGATTCTCTCAGGTTTGGCGCGGACGTCCAGGAGACCATGGCCGACTTCACTGCGCGCCTCGCCGCCGCCGTCGCGGGGGGCACCTATGCTGGGCCGGGCAGCCTGGGCGAGCGGGGGCGCCCAGACGCGGGCGGGGCCGCGCAGTGGGACGTGCTGGACGTGGGCTGTGGGAATGGCCTGCTCCTGCACGCGCTGGCGCACCGCGGGTATGCTGCCGCGCACCTCCTCGGGAACCTCCCCTGCGACCTTTCCCACGGCTGGCCATGCTGGGCCCGTTTGTCATTCCCTTCCTGCAGAGACTCTTGTTGCATCGCCCCTACGGCGGCTGACTGCTGCTGGTGCGCCTGCAGGTTCCAGCGCCTGACCGGCACGGACTACAGCGAGGCGGGGGTGCAGCTGGCGTGCGACCTGCTGGCCCGCCTGCCCGCCGCCGCCTCCCCCGCGCTGCGTGCTGCGGCGCTGCTGGTGGACGACGTGCTGGCCTCCAAGCTGGCGGCGCCGTTCCAGCTGGTGACGGACAAGGGCACCCTGGACGCCGTGGGGCTGCACCCCACGCAGGGGGCCGCGCGCCGCCGCGCCTACCGCCACGCCATGGCGCACCTCGTGCGCCCAGGGGGGCTGCTGGTGAGCGGCCCGCTGCTACGCACCACCAAGATTGCTTCTCGTTTGTTTCCCCTAAGCCTGAGCCTACAGCTTCTTTTCTAGAAAGAGCCCTTCGCTCGTGAATATTCTGCGCTTTACTTTTGACCCCCTTTTCACAATAAGCATCTCTGTGGTTGAGCCCACACAGCATAGCAAGATTGAAAGCTACTGTGATGCTTTCAAAGGCAAGCGGGGTCTTCGTCAGCGGGATGTGAAGCGCCTCCTCCAACTAAGAGGTGGAGTTCCCGATTTCAAATGCTATTCCCTCTGTGCCAATCGAGCACGCCATGGCGGCAACATTGGTGATGCTTGTTGCCTGTGGCAGGTAATCACGTCGTGCAATAGCACCACCGACGAGCTCATTGCCGAATTCACCATGCCACCATCAGAGGCAACCCCGGCTTCTAATGGAACCCTGAACGAGGAAGAAAACGGAAGCGAAGTCTATTGCTGCGACCCAGCTTTCGACTATGTTGATCATGTGCGCTCGTACCCTGTGTATCACTTTGGCGGGTCGTCAGGTACTCGAGTCTGTACTGTTGCATTCAAAAGGAGAGGTTCTCATTGATGCCTCCTGCCCATCCCCTGTGCTTTCATTGCTACTAGAAGTTAATGGGTACAGTAGCGTCAGGTTCTGAAAGCGAAATGGGCTCATTTGGTGGGAGGGTAACCGTCCTTTGTATGACCGAAGAAGCTCAATTCCTTGCACGGCGTAAAATTTCAACTACGGGATATGATGCATCCGGATCCTGGCGAGGCTTGGGCGTGCCCGGGCTCAAATTCTAAGACTGACTGTGGCGTTTGAGTGTAATTTTGGCTCAGCTTGACGAAGGCTACTGGTGTATGCAAATAACACTAAAGTTATAAAGAGGTAAACCTGAAAACCTATGAGGTTACCAGCATCACCGGCCAAGTGAAGCATGTATACATGAAAGTACGGGCACAATCAAGCATGTGACATTATTGTGATTAAGCTCGAGCCCAGCGCCTAGCCCCCAATTAATGTGCGCCGGCTCTATCATTGCAATGTATGCACGTCTGCTATGCATGTTATGTAATATATCGTTCAACAAGATGCAGTCTCGATCCAACTCGTGAGTATGTCTATGGTCATTGACATATATGATTTAGATTCGGATTTAGTTGATTTGACGTCGGTTCGGAGCCGTGGTCGGCTACAGGCCAAGTCGACGATTGTCTATCTTTGGAACTGTACACCGCAAAGCTTAAACCACCACCCGCATTGTAAATACTCCGACATGGTAGGATTGGCATAATCATGTTCCGCAAGTTGAAAAATTTGCAGGGGCGCAACCGAGCGAGGAGGTACTATGATGCATATAAAATCCGGATTTTTGTATCAATTTCAGCGGCGGTTTCGATTCGATAATTGGTGGATGTTTGTTTCCAGACCATTCGAGGAGGACTCCGCCGAAAACGATGAAGAAATGCTTCTGTCATTTTCAGCTAAAAGGCCACTTTTGGGTCGCAGAGTCATGCGCCTTCGGACCACAATTTGTAATTTGGGTGACCGTTTGAACCGCGCTGGCAACAATGCCGACCCGGTTCGACCGCTTTGCCCGATTATAAAGTGCGGGTGGTGATGTTAGTGTAGATACCCCCCTAAAGCCCTAAAGCATACTTGTCCTGCAGATCGATCGGAAAGTGGAAAAATGGTCTCCCCTCTTATCTCAAACATGCAAGGGAAATCTCTTTTAAGGTCAGTATACGATGGGCAAGTATAGATACATATACGAAATGAGATTCGTCCTCTATTTCACCCGTTGCACACTATGCACAATACCCTTTTTCTTGAGGTATCCCCTGCCAGACTTCGGTTTCTATAGCTAGATTATGAGCTCCGAGTCAACTTGAATTGGCTAGCGCAGGAAGAAACGGCGCATCCGAGTAGAAGTAGGCCCATCCGAGTCGAAGTAGGCCCATCCGAGTAGCCTTGCTTTACCTCCTCGAAATACGTGCTGTACTTGCGACCGTGCTCCTCAGGCTCTCAAATCATGCGTGTATGCAAATTTTGACAAACTTCAGAGAGATTTGATGTGGAACCCCTGTGCAATCTTGTCATCAACAACTGTTCTCGAGTCTTTGCCGCAAACGTCTGCAAACCACCCTCTCTCACCAGCCGTCCACATGCCCTTGGATTCTAAAGAGGTAATCGAGCCAATTTGTCCTGCGCAGGAGACTTGCGGTTCGATTAGGTAACACTTTCGAAGATCTGCTCCCATCTAGATATGGCCAGCAGGAACCCGCCTAACTCGCCTCGGATTCGCCTCTGACAGAGTCGACCTCAACAATTGGCTCGCAAGAGACCCCGTAAAAACGCCCGGTGAACTTTCTTTGCACTGCCCAATCTCCCATTGGTGTTCCACCCCCACCTTGGACCGTACTCCGGACCTCACACTTCCGCCTCGTACCAGTGCACAATTAGCCCCACTAGCACAGCAAATAAACCGATCCGAGTCTTCAATCCAATAATCTTCCGCACCTCCAACTCCCGACATCCGACCGCTCCCAGAAAGATTTTTGCTTTGTGCCCAGCCGCTGCCAGACCAAGCTGGACCCCCTATGAAAGGGGCCCTTTCAAAAGCTCCCGTTGCAATGGAGGTGCACTCCCCAATGCAATAGCTCTAATATTTGCACTCGCCACGAGTCTCCGCCGAGTCTCCGGTAGTCTCCCTCATAACGGAACTCGTTCCTTTCTTTTTGCCCAGCGATTTGACCCCGAAAACCTCTGACTTCACATGACTTCACAGGCTAATGTTATATGCAATTCTGGATTTCGCGACACCGTCGCGACGGTCGGGCACTCTTTGGCTAACCGACGGTTGGCCAACAACATTGCAACAGCGTTGCAACCATCGGCGCTGGAGTGTCGCAACACTCAAAAGTACATCCTCGACATTCGATCTTCATATTTGACGAACATAATTGCCTAACTAGTCAAATTTTTAGCTTACGAAGCTTCAAGCTTACATCGTAGACTTGGTAATTTATCGATAGCCGGACGGCAATTCGAGCGCAGGCCTTGAGAGGCCCGACGACTTCATCACTGTGAAACGTGTTGTCGCAGCATATTGACACCATGACCATTTCGAATTGCCTTGGATTGAAACACTCTGCTGTAAGTTGCAGTATGTTACAGGCACCTAGGTCTGCTTAAGTCTTGAAGTAGGGACTGCTTTTTCGAGCGACGGTGAAACGCCGTGTAGAACATGTGTCAATTTGCCCATATTTAGGGGAAAATTATTGGGCAAGTATCGCAACACCATGTTGCGACACTTTTACAAGTGTTGCGGAGTTGTTGGCCGATGGTTTGGGCAACCGACCGTCGAGGGACCACCGCAAACCTAGGGTACGCAAATTACTAGCCTGTGTTCAATGTAAGTTTTGAAGATCGAAGCAAGCCCACTCTCTAAGTTGCTAAGTTTCTGCATGGGCCTGAACATTGCAACAGGCCCAACTTGCTTTGCAGCCCCGCGGCGCTGGTCAACAATTGAACGTACTACGTTGTTGCCAGGCAAACGCTAAAAACGGGGATTCGACCCCGCTCAGCTCCGAACTGTCTGCCGTTTCGCCCATCAAATTCTCTAGCCCGTCTATGTGCAGTCGTGAATAGAGAGTTACCGAACGACACGGCCACCCCACCGGGCTGCTTTCGAAAAGTTTTCTCCGAGCCTCCACATGGCTTCTTTAACACGACAGCGCAGGTTAGCATACATGCTCTTAATGTTCTGGAGCATCCGACCTG